TTGGTAAGATTAGATAATCCAATACTAAATTCTCTGAACTAACATTAAAAGAATTGCATGTTTGACAGTAAAGAGAATAACAAATTTGATCTGGGAGTTAAAGGGTTAATTAATGGTTGCTGCTGGGAGAAGGGATAACTTGCAGGTATGAGATTCAATCTTTTACACCCTCATGCCAATATACACACTCTCCTTACTACTCTCTATAAATTTTCTACAGTGCTGACAAGGGGAATTTGTTAACAATCAAGAGCTTTGTTAATTAGTGATCATTTACTTTATTCTCATGACCTTGATATGTGATGCAGCGATGATATTGTATGGAGAAATTAGATGCTGGTCACACTAAAGGGCCAAAGGGTTAAGAAGTGGAGATGGCACATAGAAAGAAACGTATGAACTTACTGGAACAGCAAGTGAGACTGCACCACAACCCATTCCTGTGATGATCCGACCAGAGTAGAGCATTGGGATATTCTGAGCAAAGCTGATAAGCAGCCATCCTAGAACAAATGGTACAACGCACAACATTATCGTACTCTTGCGACCAAACTTGTCAATTGCCCATCCACCCACGGGACTTCCAAAAATGGCTCCAATTGTGACCAGGGACTGCAGATAAAACGATGACATCAAGAATTAGAAAAACAAGGAAATAGATGACCCTTGCTGGTGAGCGGCAATTAAAACCTTTCACTTCTAGGAGTGATTAACATGGAACTTCTCTCTATAATATCCATATATTATCCAGCAAACAGATGTTGAGAAAATTCCAACTCATCAGGTAGAAGTTATCTTGATCTAACACTAAATTCTCATAACTGATTTACAAGGAAAAAGGAGAGAGGGGAGAATTAACAATCAGATCTTGGGAGTTAAAGGGTTAAACCTTTCACTTTCAATGCTTCTTGTCATATTCATGTAATAAGGAGAAAGATAAAAACAACAAAACAAATTCTCACAGCCAAAATAAGAAGCAATGTATGGAATACATTACAGAGAATTAATATTTTGATCTAGGTAGTTAAGAGTTAAATGAAATTGTAGAAAAGAAGCAATTTTAAATAGCAGCTCCCTTGCAAGGATCATTTAAATTACTTGGAATACATCCGCATGTTAAAACATGTCTAGAGTTATTTCATTTTATCTAACACTAAGACATTGTCTGGGCAAAGGGTCATGATTGACTGAAAGATAAAGATATTTGGGTCACAGTCACTTATTTGTCTGAAGGTGGAAGATTCAAAACTGCTTGTAAATAGCAGGAGTTGTGTAAGCCTGTCAATACTTTTTAACTTCTCTTTTTTTAGTTAGACTTTTTAACTCATCTCGACAACACTGATGGAGAAATGGCACCTTATTTAAAACCCACCACCTTAATGAGCAATGTGAAAGGAAAGTATTTAAAAGACACTCTGGTCAGAGCTATTAATATTGTGAAGAAAGAAGATTTTAAATTGCTTGCAAGTGGTAGTAGTTGCACAGGCCCTAGAAATCTGTAATTTGTGACATGGAAATATGCTAATGCTTTGCAAAATAGAAATATGTAATTTGCAAAATGGAAATCTGTGATTTGCAAAATGGAAATCTGTGATTTGCAAAAGGAGAATCCCTGTGGAAAACTCCACAAGCCAGAAGAATGAATCAGTCAGTTCACCATAAGTGTGAATTGCAGCCTGCCAAATAATAAAAAAAACAACTAGCGAAAACAAGAAATAACTCAATGTGTTGTTTAGTCAATTGAGCACAAAAGTAATTTGAAATTTTTGTTGATGCTGTAGCTGTACTGTCTATAAGGTGTAATCAATGTACATTGTTGATGAATAATTTTAAGGCACGACACAGCACTTACCTGACTGGAAATGCTCATGGAAAGTGTTGCAGCATGTTTCTAGATGAAATATCATGTTTGCTGGGAAAATGTAACTGACCCAACCTTTTTTAATTTCTTGAGTCTCAGAATAATTTTTTTCACAAATTACAAATTTCTATTTTGCAAATCATTAGAATATTTCCATTTTGCAAATTGCTGATTTCTAGAAATCGGTAATTTGCAAAATGGAAATATGCTAACGATTTGCAAATTTGCGATTCCTATTTTGCAAATCATTAGCATATTTCCATTTCGCAAATTACAGATTTTCATTTCATTCGGTTTCGTTTCGCCAATTATAGTAGGCCCAATGAAACAAAAAAACGAAGCCAAATAGCCAATAGAAATTTATGTGTTGTTGATCTTATGTTAAAAAGAAAACAAATACGCTAAGACAAGTCAGAAATTATTGTATTGCCAAATTTAGTATGACAGCCACATTTTTATTCTAGCGAAATTGCGACAGCGACATTTGTTCCAAACCAAATAGGCGACAAGAGAACCCTCTTTGTGGGCCTTATTGGAAACACTTAACATGTTCTACTAAGGAGGCGTTCTCGTAAGACTTATTTCGACATACCTGTTTGAAAATGTCATAAATCACAACAAGACTGAAACAACTTGATCAGTTTCTCTGATTCTTCATCATTGTTAAATTTTAATGAAAGAAAAATTCGTTCGATAGTTCCGTAATCCACTAGCTAATATCTGTCGAGACCCATAGACGTTTGGTAACCTAATCGGGATGACTTCCAGTTAAAATAGTTTTTACCACAAGCTCACGGTGTTTGCTCACTAAAGGTAGAATCAACATACATGTACACAATTCAACTTACAGAAAACCATGATCCTTGCCCGTCAGTTAAACCAGTAGCAGAAGCACTACTGGATTGATGTACTAGATCTTCCAAAGCAGACGATGAATATCCCATACAATATCCAAATGACAACGGGCCGAGAGCTGCAATGAAAGTAGCAAGGATTGCTCTTCCGACCCTGACGTTCTGTACTATTTCGTTGGACTGAATGGATGAGGTAAACTCTTTTTCAAGCTCAGTCATGTTGGATGCTTTGTTCGATGCTAATCACTCGATTTATGGTGGAACAGGTGAGGAAGTCACCTTAATATACTTTAGGATTGCAATGTAGTAATAGAACCCCACCGATCAAGTGTACAGGCTAACGGAAACATGTGAGCTCGAATGCGTTACTGAGTGAATGACGCAATTTCAACGCGCAAACCATGTGATTTCTCCACCCGTGATGGGACTGTGTGAATATGCATGTGAACTTATAACAACAACATAAAGATGTCTTTTGGTAAATTTGGTAATTTATGGCCATGTTATCCGCCCAAACGAGTCCAAAATCCAATCAACAATAGTAATAGCGCAGTAAGCTTGACATACTCGATCTGCAGTGCGTGCATAGTACGTAGCCGATAGTCGATTTTTTCCTATTTCAGATCGTCACTTCCCACCCCCACCCCTCTCATTATTTTTTAACCATCACCTGCCCCCTTAGTACAAATTTCTTTCTCTCCCCAGCCCTCCGCTACAATTAAAATTAAAGATGGCGGCCATAATTTAAAAATACTGAGCACTCGCACGCCTAAATTATGCCTGCACTGCAGGCTATCCACTCCGAGTCACGAATCTCGCTTCGCCGCCTTGAGACAGAGATCTTGCGGAAATGGCTCACTGAGGCACGTTCAGCGTTTTTTGAGAATGTATGCCCGCATTTTTATTCTGTCTTTATTAAATTTTTTTTTGCTCTACCAAGTGACAGGCGTTTTTTAATCTGGACGACGAGTGATCGTTCTTTAGGTTATAAATCGCGCTCTCTATCATATCAACAGTTTTGTTTCATTTTTGAACAAAAAATGGGAACACTCCGGCATCGTGGGCCAATAACTCATACGATTTGACCACATTTATTCATTCATTTCAAATCATACCTCAAACATTTAGGGCGTTAAATCGCTCCAGGAATATTAAAAATACACTCAGAGATTTCGCTTATGTTTCCGTTGGACTATCACTGTATCTTTTTCATGTTAATATGACAGCTCTTTCCCTCTCTTTGAACTGGGTTTTCTGGGGGGCTATTGTATCGCTTTAACGTAATGTTAATTACTACGAAGATCGCTTATATAATCATTTCTTAATCCGCAGTTCTTATCAATACACATGATTTTCATACAAGCACAGTCATTTATTCATTACTGAGTTCACGAGTTTATCATATATCAACATAATGACCAGCTCCCAGTTGGCTTGTTAGCTCAGTTGGTGGAACATTGCATTGGTATTGCAAAGGCCATGGGTTCAAATCCCGTACAGGCCTGCATTAATTTCAGGCCTTTATTACACCCATTTTGAAATTACAGGAGGTCTCTATAATCTAATTGGCTCTAATTGATGCGATTTACTCACGAATCGCACCATTTTTTTAAACTTTCAATCACATATTTTTCCCAGCCAATGAGGAGGCTACACTAAAAACAAAACAACCAATCAGATTTCAAGGCTTGTTTAACCCTTTAACTCCAAGAAGTGATTAACATAAAACTTCTCCCTACAATATCCATACATTCTTCAGCAAACAGGTAATGAGAACACTCAAACTTATCAGGTAGAAGCTGCTATCTTAATCTAGCACCAAGTTCTCATAACTAATTTACAAGGAAATGTGTAGCAGCTACAAGAGAGAATTAACAATCAGATCTTGGGAGTTAAAGGATTAAGGTAACTGATCAAATTGCAGGAAAATGAAACATGCCGGAAACTGTTTGCCGGCTGTTGGCTCGTGGCAAAGAAACACGTGCCTACATGACAGCAGCAACACTCAATCGGAAAGCGCACGAATGCATTGTTTGTGTTCCTGTGTTTCCGGACTCACACGTAGGTTTCTCGTATGGGCAATTCTATGGAATCCCTCTCTTTTTTCCCTTTACCCTCGAATAACATTTGAATCTTCTCAAGAGATTTTCCCTCCGTTTCTGGGACACAAACGTAAACAAAAAATACGGCCATAATCGCCTGACTTCCATATAACCAGAAGGTTCCGGCCGCTGTGAGTGTATTGATAAAGAACGGAAATGTCTTAGTGATTGTAAATGCGCAAG